CATCATAGTGAATTGTAAAGGTAATGATAATGACACACAAAATGCTACTGGTTACTGTAGGCAGAATTTCTATTAGCATCCAGCACTGACTTAGTTCTACTTCCACATGAATGACAGTGGTCCCAGCCCTCTACCCTCCTTCTCCCAGTGTCTCAAGTGTACGGAGATCTCCCTGGGACTTTGAAACCTTATCTTTATTAACCACAGTTTAGGATTTTATACTGAGGAGATGTTACTCGGTAGGAATTCAGTGAATATCACGTCTGTAGCCTTGTTATTTTATACTCTTCTAGAAAATGGAGGCTAAAAGGGTTCAAAGGCTTCTACATTACATTTTGAATAGCCCAGCACCTTTGTTCTAAAAATAAACACACGACTTAAAAATAAATAATTAAGTGGGTTCAAACCAGAGGCTTACGTTGCTTTTGAGGATATTCACATATGATCAGCTGTTGAAAGAGTTGCAGTTCAGCTGTGCTGAGCTAAGATTTAGTGACAGGGGCACCCAGGGATCAGACTCAAAGGCAGAACCTTAGTCTTTTCCTTAGTGAGCAAGAAATGGGTATGGAGACATCAGACTAGATGACACGGAGAGATAATACACAGTACCAAAAGTCTTGAATGCTTTCCAGCAGCATGGAAGACTGGTATGGCCAATCTTTAGGGCAAGATGCAATGAAGAACATTAAGAACAATTGTAAGTTCATTCTTACTTGGCAAAGCACGTCAGTTTATGCTTATCTTTAAACTGTGATTATTGAAGATAATAAAATTTATGCGTGCACTTAAAATTAAGCAAGAGCTTTATTGTTTTGTTGAAAGGAATCCATAGTATGCTGGGGAGAAAGTAGGCTGGCCTGCCATGGCCAGGGGAGGCTGTTTTTATATAAGGCTTCATGACAAGGTAAAAAACAGGGAAAACTTTTTGAAGAAGATTTCCTCATCCTCACTTCCCACTTCATATCCTCCCACCTTCCTAAATTACCCTTTTTACATCTCAATTGATGGAAAGACAAAGAAACCACTGTAACTGAGTAGAGCTGCAGAGTGTAGCAAAAATTGCAAGGGGCAAGACTGATAAAAGCAAGTCTGGTCCAGCTTGAATATATGAGGCAAAATAAGCAGAAGAAAGCTAAAAATGTACGTTGACAATGAAGGACAAAGAGTATTATAAGCATCGTTGCTGCAGTCTGTTAAAGCATTTGCAGCAGACAAAAGATACAAGAAGAATTGGCAAGTAGAATTAATAGAATAGAAAGGATAAAAAAATAGCGAAATTATTAAATTAGTTTTTTCATAATTATTTTAAACAGTGGAGCACATGCTTTAGTATTCTGAGAGTTAGGCACTTGTACACATCTTTCTCATTGTTTTGAATGAAGCTCAAGAATATGATTAAAAGTCTTTCCTAAATAAGAGTATTTTTCTGAAATCAGGCTGAAGGCAGGAATGGAGAGCTCCTTGAACAGGAATCACCTTTCCAGACATAGGTCCAGGTTCAACCATGTGTATGTGTGATGCTGTATTTGAAAATAGTGTATGCAGGTATTGTAGAGGGAGTACTTAATGTGCTTGAAGTTGGCAGCATGCTTGAGCGCCTTGTTAGATTGTGGTGAGAGAGAGAAGGTAAAAGCTGTAAAGGAGAAAGAAAATACTTGTGAAAGGTTTAGGCATTTTTCCAGATTGCTGGAAAGCACACTGTAGTGTGCTTACTATTAATGTGGTAACTTGTTATGTAGACCCTTCAGAGCAGAATTCTGCTCACGTGTCTGATATGACTTTGAAATTCAGACTTTGCCATTTCCGGGTCCAGGTAACATTTAAAAAAGAATAGCTGTTTTTAATGATAAGGGATAGAATTATTTTTATTTATTTTTCTGAGGGAAGGGAGATAGGGGATAGACGGACAGTTTGACAGCAGGTAAGAAGCCCTACACTCTAGGTTTTTAGGGAAGTAAAACCTAAGCTTTAGGAAAAAAAGCTTAATTTAAAAAATAACTCATTACTAACTGATTCACTGTTTTTAAGAAATATAGTGAGAACATGTTTGGTTTTAGTAGATGAACATCTTGAAAAGAATAACTATTTTGGAGACAGAAAATATTAACTTATGGAGGTCTTGCTGTAAGGATTAAATGCAATACTTTGACTATTGCCATGGTCCTATAGAAAATAATGAGAAATTGAGGAAAACAATAGAAGTATTCATTAGAAAGTTTAATTTGATTCCTAAGTTAACCTTATTTGAAACTGAAGAAGCTCAGCTATCTTTTCTACCTCTCTCTTTCCTTGTATTTCTGTAAAGTCAGTATCTGCAGAACCTTTTAAACACTATACAGTTTCAGCTTTTAAATTATTTTTAATTTTCATTTGTTTATGGCATTATATCATTATTCACTCAGTCTAGATATATGACAGATCTCAAATAAAAAAGGTGCTCATGAATTTCTTGGTCTTACACTACCATTTGGATGGTGTTCAAGTTTAGCTGAATAGGAAAATCTTAGGAGGATTATCCAAATGATATCTGTAGATCAGTGGTTTTCAACCTGTAGTCTGCCATCTGGGAATCTCCGG